GGTTCAGTTGTCAGCGTTTGGGCTGTTTCCCGCGAGGCAAATTTTGAAGATGCTGGACATTAATCTTAAACTTTTCACTCTCGACTAGGTAGTTATACCAGGTGTAACCTCAAAGCTTTATTTTTTGGTGAGCTCCTCGACGCTGGCCTTGGGGCAAAGTCTAAGTAGGAGTCTTGTTTTTTCTAACACTGCAGCTACCAGCTGTTACCACTGACCATTTCCTGCCTTGTCTGTGTACCGCTAGCTTCATTTTTTTGTTTTTAAGATTATTATTTTTTTTTTTATATAAAACCTGTGTATCTGCAACAGGAAAACCACGTGATTTTCCTGAATTAGTGATGTCAGTGGGGCTGCGGGGGAATTGTGCGACGCGCTGACCGCGACCAGCTGATCCTCCCGCGTTGGGTTTTTGTCCCAGATCCTTTCTTAATGTCTAAACAGCAAGTGGGAAAATCCTTTTCTTTACAGAAGAGAGGCTTGTGTTTACCTGGGAGCAGCTGCCCGGGAGGGGATGTTGTGTCGGGGCTGTGGTTGCGTCCAGCCTGGGCTGAGTGTCGCGGCGTCGGCTGGTGGAGCTCGTCCTGAAACACGCGCCGAGTTATAATTTATGCAAAAAACGTCTGTCATCTTGAGAGGTTAATGTCAGGGAGGAGATGGGACTTGGAGACCCTCAGCTTTTTTGAACTGCTGGGAAAAGAAACAACGACCAGCTGTCTTCTGAGTATTGAAAAGGCTGAACCCGGCCTGCGGGGAAGAACGTCTTTGTGACTGAAACAAGGGAAAGGAAGCCCAGGTTTCAGTTCTCTTTAACACAGAGATTCTGGTTTTTAAGGCACCACTTTCCTAGTATGTCCCTGGATAGGAAGAACTAAGGCTCCCTGTGTGCGTGACCTTAGAATCGGGTTGTTTTGGGAATTAAAAATAAAGTCTTATTGGTGCTCTCAGTGCTTGTTGAGGAGCCGGGCCGGCTTTAACCTTTGTGGGAGAGCTCGCAGTTTGGCTGGTGTAAACCTGCAAGTCCGTGTTCAGGGATCGAAGGGCGATGCCGTTAGAATCTGACCCCTATTTCAAATGGGGATCTTTTCCTTTTCGGTTGGGTGTCGCAGGGCGAGCAGGACCTTCCCCCTCGGCGGGACCTGCCTTGTGCACCAGGAGGGGCACTTGTGCTCTTCGTACTCTAACTCTTACATTTCCTTGCCTTTGTGACCGAAGCAACCTTTATTTGGCGAGCGCCTCAGCTCCACCAACACCCCCAGGACCCGTTCCGTGCCCTGCAGTGCTGCCAGCCCTGGGGCGTTCCTCTTAAACACCCTTTGATTTTTATTTTTTAAAATTATTTTTATTTTTTTATTTTCTGTTTTGT